AGGAGTATCTGTTTAAGCCTGTTAGCTCAGTGACTTTTATTATGTTTGCTTCTCCCATTGTAGATCCTAGTATCTCAGACTTTGCTGCACAAGAGTGTCACCTCAGAAAGTTAAAAATCATGATGCTTGGATCACACCCTATGCCTATTAAGTCATTCCTGGGGGTAGGGAACCCAGACATGAATGTTTCATTTTTTGTTTTTTAGCTTCTCAAGTGATTCCAGTATGCAGTTTGAGGAGCAATGTTGTACACTCTTCACTATTCAAAATGTAGTCAAAAGAACATCATCATCATCATCAGCTTGTTTAAAGTACAGAACCTCAGGCTTCTGTGATACCTACTGACTCAGAATCTGTCTTTTAACAAGACTGTCGCATGATTTGCAAGAACACTAAAGTTTGAGAATTGCTACAGACCATGTTTCCCAAAGATTTGCTCTGTCTATGAGCATAGCTCATCTGCAGATTTCTAAAAACTAGGTAATTGATGAAGCATATCACCTTCTGATTCACTGTCTGAATCTGGCCTGATCAGAGTCTTCTGAATTATGTGGAATGCATTGGAATTACTATGTACTTTAAGGTAGTAAAAAAGCAGCTGTGTAGTCATAAGGCCACAGAAAAAGGTGTTGTGGGAGAAAGGGAGAGTTGACTCTGAAAAATGCAATTTTGTAATGTAAAAGGCTACGGTGCTTAGCACACGTTATGAGGGAGTTACTGATCTTTCAGTGGGAAACTGGTAATTTTTTTTTTAGTTGTCAATGGACCTTTATATGCGGTGCTGAGAATCGAACCCAGTGCCTCACACATGCTAGGCAAGTGCACTACTACTGAGCTACAACTCCAGCCCCTGGTAATTTTATTTTTTTATAAATGCTTTTTTTTTTTTTGTACTGGGGATCAAACCCAGGAGCACTTTAACACTGAGTTACATCCCCAGCCCTTTTTACTTTTTGAGACAGGGTCTCACTAAATTGCTTAGGGCCTCACTAAGTTCCTGAGGCTGGCTTCAAACTTGTCATCCTCCTGCCTCAGCCTCCCAAGCTGCTGGGATTATGGGTATGTACCACTGCCCCTGGAAACTCTGATAAATTAAAAAAAAAAATAAAAAGAAGATTTCTCAAAGAATTGATGAAGTAGAATTTTGGAAAGGTAATCCTGGGTTAGCTCATTCTATTTCATTATGTGGCTCCAGAGCTGTAAGTCAGGCCTTACTCTGAGGTAAGATCTTCAAGCCTCTGACTCTTCATTGCTGTTTTATCTTATTTGATTCTCTTTCCCTTTTTAATTTTTAATTTGTTTTAATTAGTTATACATGACAGCAGAATGTATTTCAACTCATTGTACACAAATGGAGCACAACTTCTTATTTCTCTGGCTTCACACATGCAGAGTCACACTGTTCATGCAATCATACATGTACAGAGGGTAGTAATGTCTCTCATTCCACCATCCTTCCCATCCCCACACCCCTAGGACCTACCCTGAGGTTCTGATTTAGGTCTGTGGTAGGACCTGGAAATTTTATTTTGGATGCTGGTACTGGGGATAGAACCAAGGGCCTAGTAATGCTAAATATATGCCCTACAACAGCTACCCCTCAGCCCTGGGAAAATCTGATTTTTAAAAAGACTCCAAACAGTGATTCCAATTTAGAGTTAGATTTAGGAACCACTGATACAATGAAAAGTGGACTGAAAATTAGGTCAAATCTGATTTTAAATCCTAGGCCCACCACTCAGTGGCTATGTGATTTTGAGAATGTTACTTAACCTCTCTCAGCTTTGTTCTATTCATTTACAGTGTTGAGACATTTAAATAAGATTAACATTTAAAAGTGACTAACATAGTAAATGAAAAATGCAAAACATTACCCTATGATGGTATCAGAGTGGGCCTTTTAAATTATAGTACATGTGTTTCTGTGTGTGTTGAGAGAATCATGCACACAAGCTCAACACATGGGTAACTAGGTTTAGTCCCTTCCTTGATGTCCAAGTCTTCCCATGCCCACTTTTATCAACCATTTTTTGTCACCTTGAATTTGGACTCATTTTGTTCAAGGACTGTGGACTTCAAAAAGCTGGTAGATAAGTTGGTGATGGCTTCCCAATTTTATTGCATGTATGTCATAACTTCAGGCACACAGCCATCTTTAGTACTTCAGACTCACATTCACATGCTAAATGCTTCTGGTTGTTTCACCCATTTTTTTAAGTTGTCTGAATCATAGTTGGCAGCCGTTGCTACACTGTAAATATAATTGCTTTTCTTGTCTGACCTTCCAGGAACCAATCAGGAACCAATCTTGATGCACCCTCTATCATGCTTAAGTGGACAGAAATAGGACCTGACTGAGAATACCTGAAATTCCAGCAGAAAGTTTACTGTTAAGGACTTGAGCTTTTTTTTTGTTTGTTTTCCCTGTGTCAGGGATTGAACCCAGGGCCTTGTGTATGCTAGGCAAGCTCTTTACCACTGAGCTACAATTCTGGCTCTCCTATTTAAGATACTTGTGGGAGAGAGAAGTGTGGAAGAAAGGAAAAGTCTTTTTTTATTTCAATCTACATGTTGTTGGTATTTTGGGCAGCCAATATCAAACACTAATATTTTGGTGAGTTCACTTCTGTATCTTGCAGCATGTTTCTAGAGACATCAGAATTTTTCCATTCTTGGCTTTCAGGGTCAGCTGTGTGACTTAACTGATAAGTATGATACTTTCCTTGTCCTACAGGACATGATGGCTGATTTAAGAAGGGGAATGTTATCTAAGATTATTCTGTCACACCTGTACTTCCTACATGGTTATAAGAGGAGATATGCTCTTTTCCAATGGAAAGGAACATGAAAGCATGATAGTCATCTTAGACCACCAATTCAGAATGAAGTCAAGTTAGATAAATAAGGACTTTGAAAGTGGAGAGCAATTATATCTTGGTCACACTTGGATCAAGTCTTGACTGAAAACAAGATTTACTTTTGCTACTGTTTTGAAGCCGTTTAAGTTTGGTTTTCTGGTTTTTGCAATGAACAGTATTTTGTAAACAAGCTTTTTCTGAACAAGTTTTTAGAGCTATGGGGTCATCTGAATTGAAGCCCTGAATGCAACCAAAAGACAAAATATTTTCAAAAACCCAACTCGGATACAGCTCAGGTACAGGATGTGAAAGAGGTACCTTAAAATGGTATGTGTGGGTCAGGCATGGTGCTACACACCTATAACCCCATCTACTCAGTAGGCAGAGGTAGGATGATCACAAGTATGAGTACAGCATGAGTAATATTTAAAGAAGCAGTGGAGGGCTTGCCTAGCATGTGGAAAATCGCTCTTCATAAAGTGGGCTGACTTCTCTAGTTTAAGTTCTTTTGATGGAATGAATTAATTAATGTGTCAGGTGGCTTATTTGTGGATGCCATGATTGATAATGTTCATTTTAAGCTTTTACCTATAGGTACAAGTACATGATGCTATTGAATATTTTTCCACTTGGAAACTGTGAGCTGGTTGTTGCATTCAAACACAAACAAAATCAAAAACACTGAGGACTTCCACTCAAGCTGGTCTTTCTTCCCCAGTGTGAGGCAATCCTGCCTATTACTAAAAATTAAAAAATTTTAAAAATCACTCCATCTGTGAAGCTGATTCAGTCAAAGGGTAGGATAGGCAGGGCATTTGTGCCAACTAAGAGAATCACCAGATACCCATCATAAGTACCTATCATAGTTTTGAAATCGTTTCTCTCCCAACTCCCACCTCCCAACTCCTGAAGGTTGCTGCCTGCATATATACTCTTCATTAGTGCTATTTTCCTGTATATCATTGTGAGCAAGCTGTGATTAATAAAGAACTGGAGTTCTGTGAACTAAAAAAATAAACACATAAGAATTTTAAGAATTACACTGGAAAAATGGAGAATTAAGCATACGGCATACTTTCCCAGTTATGCAGTGGTAGTTATACAACTGGTCTATCACCAAAGGTACACCATTAGAGAAGCCACACTGTAATATCCCAACTTAAGATGTTTTTAATCCCTCTTGGATAAAAGAATTTAGGAAATGACCCCTCAAGTTGAATATTAAAACTGAAAACAAAGCCTAACTATTCCTAAGGATCTACAGGAAAATCCTGAGATACGCTGACAATATGAAAATTTTGGACAAAAGAAAGTTTCACAGAAGTCACTTTGGAATACTAAAACAGTTAAACAAGGCCAGATTGGAAATGGGAGAGCCCCACCCAGTCCAAATCCAACTAATATACTGAAATCTTGGTAGTCTGGGAATATAGGTTAGAGATATCTACTTTATCCATTTGTTTATCAGTTCTCAATGTCTCAGCTGGTCTGCTTCTTATTTCAATGATCTTAACCTAAAAATACTGCAATTTTAATTGGAAAGAATAAGATTAACTCCATCTACATTCAGCATAGGTTTATTTTTCTAGTTAAAAAACACATAAAATGAGCTTAATGATATTCCATTATTCATTTTTTCTCATAATTTCTAGGTCTATACTGAACATTCAGGAAGACAATATTTTCAATTTCTTATAAATCCTCTAAGTTCTGTAGTATTTACAAATTGAGAATATCTTTTTTCTCCTATTATAGTTTCCCCCTTTTATTGAAGTCAACAAACTTTTTACTATTTTTCCAACAAAAAGAATTCTTCAGGTGACTTTCAGGTTGAAAAACATCCTTTTAGACTCAAAACATCTGTTAAGTGAAACGTTCTGTTTTTTGCAAGCTATATAAGTAAGAGTTTAACACAATTTTGCATTCCTGAAAATATTTTCCTGACTTAGCTATCAAGTTTCTGTAGCATAAGCAATATGGGAAATTTCACAAAATTTAATCATAAAATTATTATAAATAGCAGAGAAAAGGGTGTCAAATCATAATGGCCATATCATTAAAAAAAAATAACAACAGCTGGACTCTTGCTGTTTCTTAATGAATTATGGAATTGTAATTAAAAAAAGAATTAAAACAGCAAAATTCATCGTAATGAATAGAAAATTTAAGTACAATGTCTAGAACATAGTTAACTCAAAAAATATTGGCTCTATAATGAAGATGGATCAAAACAATCAAAATACAAGAAACCAAAATGGGGGCGGGGAACTTAAACCACATTTCCTAGGGTAAGTATTTAAAAGGAAAGTTGAAGCTCACAGAGAGCAGTAAGGAATTCTGCATTTTCAGGATCAATCTTCTGGGCCCTCTTATAGTACTCAGCAGCTTGTCTCTTTTCTCCCTCCAGCTTATAAACAAACCCTAGGGCACTTAAACTCTGCACATCTAAAGCATTGTGACAAAGTCTCTTGGTAGCCAATTTCCTCAGAGCACTTATCAATTTGGTGCGCAAGGATGACCTGTCTTTGACCTTTAAGGCTTCTAAGTAATGGTAGATGGCAATATTTTCTGATTTACAGTGAAACTCCTGAAAGCGGCCATAGTGGTAGTGGATCTGGTGTTTGTGATCATCAGTTATATTCTCCAGATGAAGAGCTTTCTGGAAAATGTCCTCAGCATTGCTATACTGGCCTCCCTCAGCATACATGTTGGCAAGGTCTGTGTAGGCAAATGCAAACATAGAGTCTCGTTCCACAGCTGCTTTGAAATGAAATATAGCGGATGCAATCAACTCTTCGACCTTCAGTTTATCTTTTCCTTTAGGTCTGTTGCGCGTGACCTTCTTGATTTGGATCATTTGTGCCCTGTAGCAAAGCCCCATCTGGTGATGCAGGAAAGAAGAGGTTGGTGTCACCTCCAAAGCCTTTTTTAAAAGTTCAAGAGCTTTGTCCCAGGAATTTTTTCTCCTATAGAATTTAGCTGCATAACGAAGGACATAAGGCTGAGATGATACCTGGTCTAGGATTTCTTCGATATACTTTTCCCCTTCAGCTTCTGCATGAACATCTTGAAGCTTCAGGGCCAGAAAAACCTTAATGTAGCTGTTGTCCGGGTTCAGCATAACAGCCTTCCTCAGAGGTCCCAGAGAAAAGCTCTTTACAGACCCTTCTCTATCAGAATCATCCAGCCGATACACAGTGATGGCATAGCCAATGTTAAATTCAGGATTGTCAGGTTCTACTTTCAGAGCCTTCTCAAAAGCTGCTTTAGCTTTTTGGTAATACTTTCCTCCAAATTTCAAGAGTGCCCACCCTTTCTCACAGTCAATCTCAGGGCGCTCCAACTTGTAGTCAGAAGGACTGGACAATTTCCTGCAGACATTCCCTACCTTGTCTATATACTTCTGAACTTCCTCACGCTGGTCCATGTGGTAAGACACCCAGGCGTAGTTTCCCCAAGTGACCAGACTTCGTACATCTTTTTCATTTGAGTGTTCTCTCTGGATTATTTCTTCTGCTTGTTTCAAACACTCTAGGGCATCATTATTTTGACCTTTTAGATGTTTCACATAGGCCAGTAAATTATAAAGAACAAGTCTGGATTTTGTGGTAAGAAATTCAAGCTGTTGCCCAATTGTATCTTCTACATCAAACAGATCAATATCTTCCTTAAGTAAATTCCATGTAAAGTGACAGTCCAACTCTAACAGAACGGCTTTCAAGGAGTCCTTAGGAATTTCACTGTAAAAGATAAAATCTTTTTTATTTTTTGAAAAAATAAAGGGAATAATTTCTAAACCTTACCTACTGTTCTTTACATACCAACCAATTTTATCTTATTTGATCTTAAAACTAAAGCACTAGGATCTCATAACTTTATTCTGGTTTCCTTGGTTTATAGTTCTATCCCAGAAATATTTCATTTAAATTTTATTTTTCAGTGCTGGGGATTTAAACCCAGGGCCTTACACATGCTAGACAAGCACTCTAACCTTGATCTACATTCCTAGTCTTGGAAGGAGATTTTAAAGTAGGGAAATGGCAGCCTTTGGTCTAGGTTTTTAAAAATTCCTGTCTACTCTGTAAACAAAGAACAATAGGGAGTCAAGACAAAAAGACAGGGAAGCTATGTATTCATTAGAATATTTAGTGAAAGCCTATTATATGCAGGGTGCTATTATAAGTGTTGGGGATACAGAAGTGAACAAAATAAAATCATGACCTGATGCCACTTTCTAATGGGAAGGGGGTGTAACATAAAGACAAAACAATAAATGAAAATAAAGATTGAGATGATGATCATTACTAAGATAAGAAGTAAAGCTGGTGGGGTTGGGGTTGTGGCTAAAGAGGTAGAGCACTCGCCTACCATGCGTGAAGCACTGGGTTCTATCCTCAGCACCACATAAAAATAAAATAAAGATATTGTGTCCACCTATAGCTAAAAAATAGATATTTAAAAAAGAAAGAATACTGGAAAGGAAACAGGAGGTTGGTAAGGACTCTGCAAGACAGTTTAAAGTCAGATGGCCAGAGCAAATCTCCCTGACAGATATGAGGGAGGGTTGAAGAAATCCAAAAAGAGACAGTACAGACTTACTCTAGAGTTGCAGTAGAGGGTTTCTGAGGAGTGGATAGTCCTGTTTTGATCTTTTTTTTTTTTTTTTTTTTAGGGCTTTATCTTTGTAGTATTTATTATACAAATATATATGCATTTGTTTGTCCCCAGCTGTTTTACACCAAAGCTAGCATACTATACATGCTTTATGCACATCATATCAGTGTTTTAGAGATCTTCATGTTTTGGAAGGTTACATCTATTGTTATGATACATGGTTTATTTTTTTTTTAATTTTTATTGTTGGTTGTTCAAAACATTACATAGTTCTTGATATATCATATTTCACACTTTGATTCAAGTGGGTTATGAACTCCCATTTTTACCCCGTATACAGATTGCAGAATCACATTGGTTACACATCCACCGATTTACATATTGCCATACTAGTGTCTGTTGTATTCTGCTGCCTTTGTTTAATACAATGGTAAGGATGAAAACATTACTGGGATGGTTCCAGGGCATAATGAGAGGTGGAAATAAGAATATGGGGGGGGGGGGGGTACAGACCACTGTTTCCAGGAATTCTTATTATGATGGGAGTAAAGAAGTGCAACCTCAGGTGGAGGGATATATATATATTTTCCTAGTTTAAATCACAACAATCTTTCCTTTGGGATGGGCAAAGACCTGTTATGCCTGCTTGCACTCTTGGCCCCCTATGATCCATTCTCCAAATCAGCACCAATAAACTTTTGAAAAGGCAGAAAACTAAATTATGTTTCTTCTGCTTAAATAAGCCCAATTTTTAATCTCCCTTAATCTAAGGGCTTCCCTTAGATATTAATATAGCCCTTGCATTGTTCTACAAGCCCCTAAAGGAACTGGCCTTATCCATCTGTCCAACCTACTTCCCAACTTCTCCCCCCTTTTCACTTTTTTTTAGATGAATTGAATTCTTCCAGTCTTGGGCACAGAAGTTTCAGGGCTTTATCACCTATTGTTCTTATTACACCTGATATGTTCTGCTTCCAAATCTTCACATGACCAGCTTTTCTGTAACTCAGCACAAATATTTCCTACCCAAGAGGCTGCCTGTGACAGAGCTATCTAAAAATTTCCCCTTCCAATTTAGTTCACTCTCTATTCTACTGTTTTATTTTCCTTATACCTCTTATCAGTTTTGAATTATGTTATTTACTCACTTATCTGCTGTTTGTCTATTTCTTCCATTAAAATATAAATCCCTTGAGAGTAAGTACTTTGTGTTGTTTTATTTTTTCACCTCTGTGTATACCAGGCACATAACAGAAGCTCAATCAATATTTGTTGAATGAATGAATCCACTTATATACTGTCAGCTCCTAGTGTGTCCAGCACAAGTTTAGCATAAAAAGCACCTAAAGTTCAAATGAGGGAATTCTTGCCAGTTCCACCCTTCCAAATGATGGCTCCAAACTCCTCCCATTTCAGTGGTCTCTGTCCCACTTGTTTTATATCCTTGCTTGCTGTCTAGCTCTATGTTTGGGTTTGAGAATAGATCTTGGACTACTGCATTTGACCCAGAGATTCAGACTGGGAAACCTGTAAAGACTGCACCTTGGTAATTATTCCTTCTCTGGTGTAATTACACTAAAAGCATGACAAGATGCACCATGTCCTTACAGCCCAACCAAATTCATGACAATGTGGCCTTACTAGTCTTCTGCCCATCATAGAGTCAAATAAACACTTGCCTTTGTTCATAAGATTTCAATCAGCCCGTCCAAGGAAGAAATATTAGGAATACAGCTGTGAGATTTCAAAAGGGACACTGAGACACTAAAGTGCTTTGCTCAGATGGTGGGGAACTGATGCTCAATTGGACATCATGAGAAGTCCTACTGTTTAAACTTCATCTGGTTAATTTTGTGGGTGTGGAGTATCCGGGCATTGAACTCAGGGACACTTGACCACTGAGCCACATCCCAACCCTATTTTGTATTTTATTTAAAGACAGGGTCTTTCTGAGTTGCTTAGCAGCTCGCTTTTTGCTGAGGCTAGCTTTGAACTCTTGATCATCTGGGATTGCAGGCGTGTGCCACCCTCTGGTTAATTTTTTAACTTTGATTCTGGAAAACTGGTACAGAGGCTATGAGAGCTGATAAACCAATTTTATCTTTGGGAGACAGACCACAGTGGGGCCAAACCCTCTTCTAGTCCATCCCGCACAAAATGCAATACATCCCATTTTCCTAGTTGTTTCTTTCTTTTTAATATTTATTTTTAATTACAGGTGGACACAGATCTTTATTTTATGTGGTGCTGAGGATCGAACCCAGTGCCTCACGCTTCACGCATGGTAGGTGAGCCCTCTATCACTGAGCCACAACCCCATCCCTTCCTGGTTGTTTCTTCAAGCCCTTTTCTGATTACCTATTTCATTTCTTACAAATGTTAGAAGTGAGGCACTTAAACTTGTTTTTCTAACTTGTTATAACGACAATAATGATAGTGACACTTAACATTTATTGTGCAACTATTATGTGCTAAGCAACTAACCCTTCCCACAGACCCCAGAGCTGGATGCCACTAATTTTTATAAAAAACAAACTTGTAGCGCTTTAGACAACGGATTGGATGGAACACGAAAAATCCGTCCGTGGTACGAGGATAGCGCCCAGAAAGGGTAGCGTTCAAGAGCCGGATAACGGAAAGGCAAATGGTAGTGGAAGCAAACGTGACGCCTGGAGGCTGCGGCGAAACCGCGAGTGCCACGCGGGGGGCACGAGCTGGAAGGCGGCCTGGGAAGGTGACCAGCGCCACGCAGCCGCCGCCTCGCACGGCCCCGGGGGCTTCCCGGGCAGGAAAGGAGGGCTTGCGGGCGCTGACGAGCGGGGGCGACGGCCGCCGGCGCTGCACCGCCTCAACTGCGGCGGCTGAGAACAGCGCGGCGAGGAAACCGGCCTCGGGGGGCGTCTCCTGGCCACCCTCCGCGACGGTCCCGGCCGCAGACCCTGGCAAGGGACGGGCTCCTGGGGGCCGTCGCCCTGCCCGTGCCGCTTTCAGAGCCCGCGGGAGGAGGTCGGGACTCGCGGGCAGCGTCCTTTTTGCCATCTCCGCGGCCCTCCGGGCTTCGGACGCCGCCTGCCGGGACGGGACTCCGGGGAGCGTCCCAAACACAGACGCCCGGCAGCCCCGCGCGGGGGGCGCGTCCCCTGGAAGGGCCGCAGCGCTGCCCTGGGAACGAACACGAGAGCGACAACGGTTTCAAACAAAGGCGGACGCAGCACTTGAGAGAAGCTAGGCTGGGAAGCCCTTACCTCATGGCGGCGGGGCTCTGCGGGCCGTCCGAGGCGGCGGTGCCCTCGGGCTCGCTCCACAGCACCCGGCACCACGGCTACCGCGGCGGGCGGACGGGAGGCGAGTGCGCGTGCGCGCGCTTCCCGCCTGGCGTGGGCAGCGCGGGGACTCGGCCGCGCGCAGGTCTTTGTTAAAGGCTGGACCCGAACGGGAAAAGAAAACTGGAAACCGAATCTGATCCCCTTGGGCGCCGAGACCCGCTCCAGAAACCGAAACTTAACGCGAGCGCGGACCAGCCGCGGCCAAACCTTTGCCGAGCGCAGGGTCGTTCTGAGTTTGCAGCAGGGCCTCTGACCTGCTGAATTCATGTGCCTCTCGGTTAACTGTCGAATTTTTATCCATCATTATTTTAAGCAAAAGCATCAGGAGATTGTTCAGCATTATTTTTGTTGCAATTGTGGTAAAGATGTTCTCTCCAGCTCTCTACCATCTAAGTGAATCTAATGTCTCTGCTTCCGTTCCTGTCTTTTGATTCAACCAGCAACACTGCAGCGCTGTACACCGCGGTTCTTACTTGGTATATTTAAAACAGGAAAAGTTTGTTGTCAAAATGCATATACATTTTAGGCTTTACAAAGAGGTGTACATTTCCACTCACAGTTGTATGAGTGTTATACTTCCTTGCCCTTGCTGCGGCGCTTTGTGCAATAAGGTCCCAATGAAGATAAGGGGTGGGGGTTGAATTGGGGACCTAAGCAGAAAGTGTCATATTCCCATACATTAAGGTTTCTGTGCTCATTGGATTCAGACATTCGTTCATTCAACAGATTTTATTGAACAACTGCTAAGAGCCAGACTTGGTTCAAAGTACTGTCAACATAGCAATAAATAAAACAGATGAGGCCCATACCTTCATGGAGTTCATTTCTGGTGTGGGGTGATAAAGACAATAAGCAAAACCTATTACATGCTGGTGCTACGGGAAAAGTCGAGCAAAGAGAGGGGTGGGGGTGTAGAATGTTTTGTAAATATGGTGGTAAGGGAAGGTTTTGCTGAGGAGATGGTCATTGCACAAAGATCTGAAGGGGATGAAGGAGTGAGCACTGTGGATATGAGACTGGAGAAAAGCATTCCAGGTAGATAAAAAGGTAGGTGCAAAGGCCCTCAGGGGGGAACATACTTGGCAAACATGAACTTTGTGGTCAGAAATTAGGTGGGAGAGAACATGCGCGTGGTAGGCCTGTAAGTTAGAGTAATACTTACCTGAAGTCTGAAACCAAATTTTAGAAAAGGTACTCACAGATTTATTTTGCATTGAAAAATAAACCCAGAATTTCCGTCTTGCTAAGATTATAGAAAAATTTGATAAAGCTCTGATGTTTGAAAAGTTTTCCCATACACCCATCATTTTCTTCCCTTTCTGTGTTCCTACTTCTTCTTCCCTTTTCTTAGCTGTGTATGGGCTAAGAAATAGTTTTTGTTTATAGAAGTTTAAATGACTAAGCCATCAGTGGTTAAAAAAAAGTCAAAGGGAAAAATTCTCGGATATCTACTTACATTGTTTAGGAAAACACAAATCATCTGTAAAAAATGTTAAAGGACTATACATTATCAGGATTGAAAAAAAAAAAAAAAAAAGACCTGGCTGTTGAGGGAGTATGTTGAACATGCTGAAATTACTACATGGAATTTGAATACCAATTTTTTTTTAAACAGACGGTTGAACTGAGCAAATCTTGAGAGAATCAATAATTCATTGTCTTTTGAACATTATGTTTATCAACATGTAAAATACAACAACTGGAGAAAAGGGGAACAGAAAATTAAACACAACTGTTGTAAAACCTGCTTGGGAAACAAACATAATAGGGATTCCCAAAGTAGTCCTTCAGAATAAACACTGACTGTCAATAACTTCCAAGAAGTAGATGAAGTCAGACTTTCTCAAACTTGGCGCTAGTAACATTTGGGCTGGATAATTCTTTGTTGTGGGAAGCTGTCCAGTACATTCTAGGCTCTTTAAGCAGCATTCTTGTGTTCATCCACTAGATGGCAGAAGTACCCCACAATTGTGATTCCTGCCGCGCCCCCCCCCCCCCCCCCCCCCACGCAACAACAACAAAACCCTTCTGACCTTGTCAAAGCCCTCTGGGAAGCAAAATCCTCCCGTCTCACTACCCTCACCCCACCAGGGTTGAGAATCCCTGCTGTAAATAATACCATCATTTATATTTCTAATTAAAAATAATTATACTGCCTGCAAGTGATCTGAGGCAGACTTCAGGTCAGAGAGGAAAAATGAATACAGATCAGGAGATGTTGGGCATATATTGATATTTAGGAGGAAGAGGCCTAAGTAAAAGTGGAGGTTTCAAGGAGTATGTCCTTTAGCATGGAACTTCAGGGTGGAAGTGGTTGCCATCACATTTGGTTTAGTTGGAGCAAGACACATAGCTGTGACCACAGGCTGATGATGGTGGTTAAGGTTTGAATATGGTTTGTGAGTATGTCCCCAGCATGGTGATGTTAACAGGTGGTGGAAGCTTCAAGAGGTAGTGCCTAGTGAGAGGTTGTAAAAATGACCCCTCTTCCCTCTCTGACTTCCTGTCTGGCTGTGTGATTGCTTCCTTATCTGTGTACTCCATCATATCATACACCCTGACATGGTACAGTTTTTTTTTGGGGGGGGGGATGACCTTGTTAGAGCCTATGCTATCCTATTTGAATTTTTAGCCTCCAAAACTGTGAGCTAAGTAGATCTATTTTCTTTATAACTTACCTAGCCTCAAATATTTTGTCATAGTAACAGAAAATGGATGAATAGAGTAGGTAATACTAGTTGGAGGAGGCTATAGGGTAGACTGATTCCCGAAGCAGTTCATGAGAATGGAATACACTGGTGGCTAGAGTGGTCCACAATGGACTGGATCCTACAGTGAAAGCAATTAGCAAAGGCCTGGGCTTGGGCACCTCAGGAGTCAATCTAAATAAGAGTACCAACTGAGGATCTGTCAGTCATTTATTTGGAAGTAATAAGTTCCTAAAATTCAGTTGCCAACTTAAACAGACTTATTGGTAATGCCTAGAGATGCTCATGTATAAGTTTGTCAGTAGTATTTTCAATACAAAAGAGCACCTAAGTTTCAGGATTTGCTATGTGTTGTTTTTCTCTGGAAAACATCCAGACTGTATCACACTGTAGTATTATTCAGCACCAAGAAGTGCAAATACCTCTTCCAGAATTGAGAAGAATGAGAAAGAGAGGTGCTGTTGAGTTAACAAAAAGACATTATCTAAGTGTGCTACTTGGAAATGGTCAAACCTACCTTGAACAACATATTATGCAATCCTGAGATTTGCTTTGCATCAGTGAGCTCTGCTTTCAAATTGTTTTACCTCCTTTTCATATTTCTTGACTTAGATCAATAGATTATCAGTAAGTAACTTAAATAGTGCTTCAGATAAAATGGCATAGTACAAGAGAAACTCCCTGGGACAATTTGATAGTAAATTAAACCTGAAATATGGAGAAAGTCCACTTTTAATTATGTACCTGTTTCTTTGACTAGATCATAAGCTGCATGAAGTTCAGGAAAAGCATTTGCTGTTCACCTTAGTATTTTTGGTATATATTACTATAAACTACTTGTTGATAAAATGAATTAATTAAACATGTTGTGTATGCAAGTTCAGTGTCTTTACTTGCTACCAATCTGCTCAGTAAACTTTTATTTTACTAAATAGCATTCACACAAATGTTGTCTCCCCCCCTCTACACACACACACACACCACACACACACTCACACACACAAACATTCTGTTTCACCATTTTCTAAATACAATTTAAGTCTGTTTAAGGTTATATTAGGTTTTGAGTAATTGTTTAAAAATTACATCATTACAATGAATTACACAGAATGTTTCTGAAAGCAGCAAACAGAATAGATGATTATAGTACATATTAACCTAAAAGAGAATAAAATGTGAAAGTGGCTAATATTCAGTGCCTAAGGACCATGTCCCACAGTTTTCTCAGAACCAGCAGCCAGGCTCAGGGCCCGTTCATAGTAATCCAGGGCTTCATTTATTTTTCCTTTCAATTTGTAGACAAAACCAACAAGGCTCAAGCCTTCCAGGTCAAATGCATTTCTCTGAAGTTTCTTTAAGGCCAATTTCTCCAAAGACTTCATACTTTGATTCCTTGAATGTGATTCTTTTTCTGTTTTTATTGCTTTTAAGTAATGCCTAATTGCATCATCTTCAGATTTCTTTTGAAATTCCTGAAATTGGCCATAGTAGAAATGTGCATCTACCAGTACTTGATCCTCATCTGTTTCCATCAATAACAATTTTTGATAGCTGTCTTCGGCTTTTCTGTAATCCTTTGCTTCAACATACATACGTGCCAAGTGCAGAAGAGCAAGAGCAAATGTGGGCTTTTGTTGCAGAGCAAATTCAAAATGAAATATGACTAATCTTACTATTCTGTCCACATGTTCTCTATCCTGCATGTTTTTAGCTTGCTTTATTTGGAACAGTTTTGCCCTGTAGCAAAGCCCCATCTGGTGATGCAGGAAGGCAGAGTTGGGTGTTGACCGCAAGGCCTTCGCTGAGAACTGAATAGCTTTATCCACACAGCCTTTTCTTCGGTAAAACTTGCTCGCATATCGAAAGACATAAGTCTGGGAGGAGGTATTGTTCAGAGCTTCCTCAATGTAGTGTTCTCCCTCAGTTTCCTGTCCTATATCCTGGAGCTTCAGGGCAAGGAGAACCTTAACATATGTATTATCTGGATTTAGCTGGACAGCCTTTCTCAGGGGGCCAAGAGAAATTACATTATTGTAATTCAGGCGGTAGACAGTGATGGCAAACCCCGCATAGAATTCAGGGTTTTCAGGCTCCACTGCCAGAGCCCTTTCAAAGCAGGCCTTGGCCCGCTCATAATTCTTTCTCCCACACTTCAGCAAGGCCCATCCTTCCTCACACTCCATCTCAGGAGACTCCAGCCTGTAGCAGGAGGGACTTGCGAACTTCTTGCAAGTGTCCTCCACCTTGTCCAGGTAAGTCTGGGCTTCTGCCAATCTGCCCATGTGGTGATACACCCAGGCACAGTTGCCCCAGGTCACCAGGCTCCTCAGGTCCGCCTGGTCTGCGTGCTCCCTCTGGACCAAGTCTTCAGCTTCTCTCAAGCTCTGCAGGGCTTTCTCATCCTGGCCTTTCACATGCTTCACATAGGCCAGGAGGTTGTGAATCCCCACATTGTTTTTCGTGTCTAGGAACTCAATCTGTTCCAAGATCCTGCTTTCTAAATTCGGTATTTCACTGTCTTCAAATTGCAGATCCCACGTGAAGTGACATCTCAACTGCCACAGCCTGTCCTGGATCTCATCAGTGTTCTCACTGTGAAACAAAAGCAGATTTTATTTTTTGAGTAAGGAACAGCCATAAGAAAAAGCCCAATAAAACATCCTGTTCAATTTTAGTTCTTATTCTGAAAGTGTCACATTTACAGAAATTTTACTTAGAGTTCCCTGGATTTTTAAAATATGCAGGAACAATGAATGTAAATTGTGTGGCTTTCTAAGGTGTTTCCAGCCCTTTCTAGGCAAGTAACCACTCTGTTCTTCAAGGTCACATTTGCAAAACTGTGATAACATTAACACTTGTCATGCTAGGCTCCGAGAGGATTCATAAGTCTACATATGGAAACTATTAAAGTTTATTTTATGCTATGTAAAACTTATTATTTAACTGAAAACAACAGAGACCAGTTAGAAAGGCAGAACTCCAGTAAACATTATTGACTTCAGGACTGCACTGTGCATGGTATTCAACCAATGAAGATGACTGAAATGAGAAAATATTTGACAGTTTTTTTCCCCTTCACTTTTTACTTGGAAATAATGATAGGTTCACAAAAGTTGTGAACATAGTACAGAGATACAACGTATCTTTCACCCAGTTTCTCTCAATGATAAGTTACACAGCTATAGTACAAAATCAAAACTACAAAATTGACATAGCACAACAATGAGTTTAGGTAACTTGGCTATTTTTTCATGTGAGTAAACCTCTAGAACCGCCACCTTGATCAAGGTACAGAATCACCTCATTACCACAACATCACCTCAAGATACCCCTCTATAGTCACACCTGCGGCCTTCCATTATATTGTTGAATTGACATAATTACAGACATGAAGAGTTCTTCATGTCTGTAATTATGTCAATTCAACAATATAATGGAAGCTTGGTTCAGTGCTTCACAGCTGTAATTCCAGCTACTCAGGAGAATGAGTCAGAAAGATAAAGTTCAAGTCCGTCCCGGGCAACATAGTGAGATCATGTCTCCATATAACTTAAAAAGGGCAGAGGGTGTAGCTCAATGGTCAAATGCTTGCCTAACATGTGTCAGGCCCTGGATTTAATCTCCAGCATTTCCCAAATGTCATTTAAATGGATAATGTCATAGAAAGGGGTGGTTCAACACATGAAAATCATTCATGTAATATACTGTTTTAATCAACTGTTGTGTCACTGTGACTAAAAGACCTGACAAAAACAATATAGAGAAGAAAAAGTTTATTTGGAGCCGCAGGAAGGCAGAGTTGGGTATTGCCCACAAGACCTTTGCCAAGAACTGAATAGCTTTATCCACACAGCCATTTCCTTAGTCAAACTTGCTCACATATTTTAATACATTTGAGATCTCAATACACTTCAGAGGTCTCAGTCCATAGACAGCTGACTCTACTGCTCTGGGCCCGAGGTGAGGCAGAACATCATAGCAGAAGAGTGTGGCAAAGGAAAGCAGCTCAGGACATGGCAAATAGGAAGCAGAGACAGCTGTTCTCACAAGGGACAAAATGTAAATCCCAAAGGCACCCCCCCCTACTTCTTTTAGCCACACCCTACCTGCCTATAGTTACTACCCAAATTAATACATATCAATGGATAAATTCATTGATTAATCTCTGAACATTCTTGCATTGTCTCACCACATATGGGACACCTCATATCCAAAACATAACACATACCATAAATGGAATGAAAGAAGAAATCACAACTGTCCAAATTAATGCAGAAAAGCAGCTGGAAAAAAATAATAAAACCAGAAACATTTGCATGATGAAAACACTCAACAGAGAGTAACTGAAGGAAACTTCCTTGACACAGTAAAGGCTCTTTATGAAAACCCCACAGATGTAGTCATCCTGAATGGTGAAACACTGAAAACTTTTCCTCTAAGATCAGGACTAAGTCAAGTATGCCTCCTTTCATCTCTTATATTCAACATAGATCTTATATGTGCAAGACCCTCAGGATTCTGCACACACACAAAAATGTTACAACTAATAAGCAAATTAGGCAAAATGGAAGGACATAAAATCAATATGTAAAATTCAGTTGTGTTTCTATATACAATAAAAATCCAAAAACAAATGAAAAAAATCCCACTTGCAATAACATAGAAAAGAATAAAATACCTTGAAAAAAATTAACTAAGGTGATAAAAGACTTGTACACTGAAAACTACAAAATGGGCCAGATGTGGTGGCTCACACCTGTAAACCCAGCTACTTGGGAAGCTAAGGCAGGTAGTTGGATCACAGGTTCAAGGCCACTTTGGGCAACTTAGTGAGACCTTGTCTCAACATATAAAATAAATAGGGCTGGGGATATAGTTTTGATTTTAAAACTTACTACAAATCTACAGAAATCAAAACATTCTGGTATGGGCATCAAGACCATATGAAAGACTGCAGAGATATATAGACTACTGGAAGAGTATGGAAAGTAGAGCAATGTAAGAGAATAGAGATCCCAAAAATAAATCCTTGAATATATGGTTGTATTAGTTAGCTTAAGCTGCCATAACAAAATATCATCATCAACTAGGTAGCGTAAACAACAGAAATTCATTTTATCACAGTTCTGGAAGTTAGAATTCCCACATCAAGGTGCATGCCTTTATGGATCAAAAACCTAAAAGTGAGACTAAAACTATAAGCTTTGTAAAGAGAACATGAACGAATAGCTTCATGACCTTGCATTTGATAATGCTTTCTTGGCTTTGATCCCAAAATCACAGGAAATGTGTGTATGTGTGTGTGTGTGTGTGTGTGTGTGTGTGTGTGTGTGAGAGAGAGAGAGAGAGAGAGAGAGAGAGAGATACTGGACTTTATTAAAATTAAGAACTTTTGTTCATCAAAGAACACCATTGACAGAGATAACACAACTCCCAGAGTGATAGAAAATATTTGCAATCACTATATGAAATGGGATGCATATTCAGCATGTGTAACAACCTCCCATAACTCACCAACAAAACTACAAGAGACCCATTTCACAAATGGGCAAAGACCCTGAAGAGACATTATCCAAGGAAGAGTTACAAAGGGCCAGAAATTACAAGAAAATATGCTCAGCATCCTTAGTCACTTGAAGAACACAAATCAAAGCCACAAAGAGATCCAACCTCTTACCTGTAACTGAGCAATAAAAAAAGGGGGGGGGAGGAACATAGCCAGTGAATTGTGAGGATGTAGAGAAATTGGAACCCTCATACATTGCTGGGTGAGAATGTAAAATGGTAGAGTTATTATGGAAAAGAGTTTGGCAGTCCCTCAGTAAGTTAAATTTACAATTGCCATATGATTCACTACAGAATATATTTTTTTATTGAATTACACATCAGAATATATGCTCAAAATAATTGAAAACACCACTTGTATATTTATATTCATTCTCAGCACCATTCACGATAGCCAAAAGGTTAAAACTATGCAAAAGTTCATTAATTGATGAATGGATAAATAAAAAGTTATATACCCACAAAACTGAAAAAATTTTAGCCATGAAAAGCAATGAACCATTCACACCTGATATAACACATGTGTACATTAAAAACATTGGGTTAAATGAAAGAAGCCAACCGTGAGTACCCTGTTTTGTTTTTGTAGGTGGGAGGGCAGTGGTTTGAGAGGGCTCTCATGATAGTGTCTACAAACTCTAGTCCAGCTCTGATGAGACTTCAAGCATTTGTTCATGGATGTTTGCAGTGTGTCTTCCAAGGGTACATCTATATTTGGGTGGACAGTCCAATGCCTAAATATCTGACCCATGACCAGGTGCCCCCTTATAGCAAATCTGTAGACACTGGCAAAATCCATAGTTTTTCTGGCTTTGTCCTCTTCATTCACACCTGAGCATATACTCTCTGAGGCAGCTCTGACCTGGAAAGAAGTTAACTGCAGGTTTGTTACCCAGGTGAAACACAAGAGGGCAACTCAAACAACAAATGAAATAACAGAAGAAGTCCACCACTTATAAATCCCAGAGAAAAGAGGGCAAGATGCCTTTCAGGGACAATAGGAAGTAGGGAACTTCAGGGACATTGATGCTCAACCAGTGGGTGGGGACCAAGAGAGAAAGAATATCACTAGGCTCTTCTCATACGGGCCCAATCCTTTATTAGGGTCCAAGACATCACTCAGGTGGGAATCCTGCAGAGAGTTCTAATTGGTGGGCTTAGAGCAAGTTGGTTCCAGTTCTATGGGATCATGGTGTCACTGAGAGGTGGATACTGTGGCATATCTGCCCAGTCTGGGAAGGGCTTAGGGGTGAGTAGGATGAATCTCCTAAGGAATTAATTATTGACCGGTCCCAAAGGGAGGTCCCACAAAACTGGTTACCAGGAGAAATTTGCAGAAGGCAGATGTCTGGATCAGTCACCCTGAGGAGCTGGGAGGTAGTAAAGAACCAGGAGCTGTGTCAAGAGGAACTTCACTCAGCTTCCACATGAGAAAGGCCAACTCGTCTTCAAAATGGAGGCTGAAGGCAACATAAAATTGAAAGAATCCATTCCAGCCACATATTGTATGTGTCCATTCATATGACAGAGCCAAACAGGCAAATGCAGAGACACAGAAAGCAGATGAAAGTTTGCTGGGGCCTGAGAGAGGGCCGAGTAGGAAGTGACAATGTGTACGAGGTTCTTCTCACAGTTATTAGATGTCCTTAAACTACGTGATCGTGGTGATGATGCTCACACAGCATGGTGAAGGTGCTAAATACCAGTGAATTTTAGAGTTTGAAAAGTTAAAGATGACAAATTTTGTCTTACATGTTATATTATCCTAATAAAAAGACTCATGCTGCTAACCTAAATAGAAATTTTACAAATTATATAACTTAAATATTATATATGACACATATAATTTTTTTCCTAGCATAGGTTGAAATTAACGTTAAATCATCAAAATGTAACAACATATTAGGATGCCACCTGAAGTGATGTCATGCAAACCCACTGTGATTCTATGGGAAACTTCAGTTTAACAGTTTAATAAACAGACTTATTCATATCTAAACTCTACTTCTTATTGTCTGTGTAATCACTACATTTTGAGATCTAAGATTCCATATTGCAAAGTCATAATATAGGTACCTGCCTCATTGGTTTTTTTTGAAGATTAAATATAATAATTTATATTATACTGTTGGAAGCCAGACTGGCACTTAATAAGCATTCAGGGAGTGATAACTATTTTTACAATGTTTATGCTTAATTGATTATTTTAGGCAGTGACTAATCTGTTTTTGCAGGAGGGTTGATCATAGACCTGTGATTGTGTGATTTCTGGAAATTCTTCCCCTCCCAATTTTTTCCCAGTGGAACTCTGAGGGGACATTTGCAAGTTAATGTTAACTAATGATTTTTTATCTGCTGATCTCAGGAGTTACTTGATTCAGGATTCAGTTGGGACCATAGAGAAATTCCCATTGGGCCTTTCTGGTAAGGAAGATGTGAATGTTCTTAAGCACAGACCTCCAGCCAACACCCATGGACAGGTGGATGCCAAGGACCTGCAGGGACTGGAGGTCACAGGAACTATGATCTGCTCACCTTCAGTCTAGTCAGAGCTTCATCAGAGCTGGCCCCTCAGAAGGTGAACTGAGGAGTCTCCAGAGGAAGGCCATGAGCTTCTCACCCCATCCCCACAGTATCTCCCCAGACATCTGGGAGGCTCCATGAACCTCACACTACTGTGTGGGTCCTTTCCCACCAAAATGAGGAGTGAGGAGAATGAGATGTCTCTAACCTGACAACCTGATCTCTTTTCCCTAGATGGGCAATAGTGTGAGGAAAAAGAATTTCTGATTCTGGAATCATTTTCTCTCTTCTTGCAAAACTCTTTTCCTCTGTCCTAGTCTGCTTCAGGAATTGCATGAATGTAGCTACATAAGTTCAACAGAAGTGAAAATGCCTACACTAATACAACAGCTTAGCTGTGGCTATAAATGTCCTTGCATGTGTACACACACACACACACACACACACACACATTATGAGTGGATAATCAAATAGAAAAATTAGAAAGCTTGATCTCAGAGAACTAACTTGCTGAGATAGTATTAACACTTAAATATAATGGCCAAAAAGCAAAGAAATCCTTACCTCATGGTTGCTGTGAATGAGGCTGCAGTTCTGCAGTGTTTTCAGTTCGGTGGGCTTCTCAGAGATCTGGTGGTCTGTCTGTAGATATGCTCATAAATTGGAACCCCAGGACAGGGATTTATAAGGAACAGATGATGTAATCTGCAGATGTGTCCTTGCAATTGAAGATTAGAAACTGAAAGTGGAAAGTGAAACTAAGCCTGGCAAATTCCTGCTCATAGAAATTGAAACCTCAGCGGAGGTGGAGATTCCTTCTTTGTTTCCTCCTGAGAACTGGTTGAGAGAAGGCTGGTGACAAAGATTGTCCTGAGGTGTGAATTCCTGTCTCCCAGCCTGGGGGACATTCTGGGTGTAAGGACCTGGAAGTTACTTCAGAGTCCTCTGAGTCAGGAGGACCTATGAAAATGGCTGTGTGAACTTGGAGAAGTCATGCCTCCCCCTCTGCTCCTGTTTGCTCATCTGGAACCAGGGATTGTTCAGATATGGCATAAAATTATGTAATTCTCTGAATAGGAATTTTATTCCAAGAGTACTGCCTTTCTCTGAGAGGTGTGTGTTACTAAGTGTTCTATCCATTGCTTACCTTCTGGAGAGTGCTCACTGTCATTAAGCATCTATGTAACCTCTTGCTTATTCATAGGAAGAGAGAAGCCCTATGTGCCAGCAGCCTCCTGAGCCTTCAAACAGATCATATTAGGACTGAATGACGATGTGTTTCCCAATGCTGATGCTCTCTAATCTAGCCACCTAAGGCAATGGGATTCCCCAGAAATGGTTCTCATAGCCATGCATATGAGAACATTCTTCCTCTTGGTGTCATGAAAACTATCCTTGCTCTGCTTTTACCTACCTGTGCAATCTTCTTAGTTTGTGAGCAGAGCTCAGGAAGAATACCCCTGTGCTGAGTGTGAGATTATGGGTACAGCTTTGGTTCTTTTTACTGATGTTCTGCTGAGCTCTGCTTTTCCTAACTTTCTCTGGAAATTTCTCCCTTTTCCTGGCAGGTGTGGTGAAGTCATGGCTCTCCAGTAGCTTACAGAGAGCAAACTCACCCCAGCCTCAGTTCATTTAATAATGGCAAAGCCCTTTATTGGGAGGAGGTGTCAGACTTGCTTCCCTGGAAAACTGAATCTGAATGTGCTGGGCTTGTCATGTATAATTTGGATACTACATAATTTTCCTTGTGGCTTTGTGATGGTTTGGAACCACCATGAGCACAGAAGACAAAAAACCTGAGGCCTTAGCTTTGACCTGTCATTCATTAGAAGAAGAATTGTATTCAGAAAGGCTGCAGAACACCAGAGGCCTTAATTCCCCAACCTGTCATTCCTTTGATAGGGAGGCATTTTTTTTTTCTTTCTCCTTCTTTCCACAGTTTCAACAATCTTATCTCAATGACTGGGAGGGCCATAAGAGCTAGTGCACCTCAAGATTCAGAACATTGATATCATAAGGTCTCTAAGAAGAAACTAATTATCAACTGATCCATATCTTCCATAAGGAAGAAATTTCTTTAAAAAGTATGACACTCGTGACAGATAAGAAATACCAGGCCCAAGGCACCTCAGCAACTTGTTCAAAAGCTGCCCTTTCCTTTGAGGAGTGGCTTAGTTCCCCTTGTCAATCAGTGCTGTCTCCCTTCCACTGAAGGCTCAATCCAAGCTTTCCCTCTGTAGGCTCCTAATACCGGGCTCAGTCTCATATCTATCATTTCCCAGCCCAAAGTTCCCACCTCTGGTTAATGGTCTGAAAAGAATAAAAATAGCGGACTCTTGTTTATAAACAGAGGTGAATATCAAGCAGTCAGGCAGAGGCAGAGAGAATTGGAGATAAGAGATGGAAATTTCTGAAGGTGCCTTTTGCCCATGGCTTTATGCTTAAGAGTCAAGGGGTAAGAACCAAGTACTGTGGTTTTTTTTTTTGAGATTTTCAGGTGTGCTGAGTAACTGAAAGCATATTACCAGTAACTGTGCACCTGGACCCTAGATATTTCTAGCGCTACAGAAATCCAGTCATTGGCTAGCATTGGCGCCCACATCTGCCTCTTTCCCTAACAGAGAATATCAACCTGAGATAAGGATTTGAGAATACAGAAAAAGAAAGATATAATGAATCTCAAAAGCACTGAGTCTCAATGACCCCTTGGAAACAGGAAATGCCCAGGAACCTTTGAAATGTATAACGAGAAACTCATGAGCAACCTGGTCCATGTCCATGCCCCTCTTCTTCGGCTCAGGTGCTAGCCTACCAAAAGTAACAGGAAATATGAGAGCACAGGGAAAACTGGTATGAAATTGTGTAACTCCACCCTGACTCCTCTAGGTCAGCCTCTTGTTACTCCCCCTCTATACACATTAACACCCCAGAACAAGGGGCTGCTCTTTATTCCTCTGCAGATGGTTCGTGCTCTCCCTTGAACGTGTGTTCCTTGCTTTACCCCCAAAGCCTCTTACCCTTGAGATAGGCCACCTTCTCTCTTGAATGTGCATCTGCTTTCCTAAATAAATCTCTTTGTGTCTCTGACTGGCATGTGCTGAAATTCTTGTCCATCACCTGCCGCAGTCTGGCTGCAGCAAAATAACCGGGGGGTGACGAGCAACTTGTGTAGATTGATATAGCAGGAGTGGGAGCCGTTTATTGTAGGACAGGAGGGGTATATATACATTCCACACACTTATCTTAATTAACATAAACTAGATACAGCAGTCAACCAATAAGGAATCTCCACACTTAATGGCTCGCTGGCGTTACTTCACAAACCACTCCCCCTGGCAAAATGCCAGGCGCCATCTTGACTTGTTTACAGACCCTAACAATCACCTATGCCAAAGACCCCACTTGTCCTGAGTTGAGGTCCTTCCTCAGGGAACTCTCTGGTAGCCAGCTCATTGTGGCCTCTCATGAAGGCCAGTGTCTGGAATCTGGATGACTGCACAGAAAAGGGAGAATTTCAGGAGGCAGCTCTGCTTTTGTGTGCAATTCTTGGGCAGAGACACAGGGCATGGGGGCAATATTTATTAGTGCCAGCACTGGCCCAGGGGATTTGTATCCAAAGGCTGAGCCTGGAGTGCAATTGGGGCATTGCCTTATATACCCTTTACTAGTTTCTTTTACATGTTAGCCCCTTTGTCTCACATATATGGTAATATACAGTTTAGTTAGGTATCCTAGGCCACAAAGAGTTGCAACAAACTTGCAACAGACATCTACACAGAGAAACTGACTATGCCTAGTCGCCTTGTCTTGTCTCTCAGGAGGGCTCTTACCACACTCTCACTTGGCCTTCTGCGTGCTGAAGGCACATATAACACATAAAGGTGTCCTCTTAATGAAGTAAAAAGCATTCTAGTTGTTACATTTGGTGTCAGTTTGACAGAAATAAGCAATCAACCTTGTTTAGAAATGAGGTGTTAGAGCTGGGCATGGTGATTCACTCCTGTAATCCCAGAGGCATGGGAGGCTAAGGAAGGAGGATTGCAAGTTCAAATTCAAAGTCAGTCTCAGCAATTTAGGGAGGTCAGAAGCAACTTAGCAAGACCATGTCTGTATTAAAAAAAAAAAAAAAGGCTGGGGATGTAGCTCAGTAGTTAAGTGCCCCTGGGTATAATCCTTGGTACAAAAAAAAGAAAGAGGAGGAGGAGGAGGAGGAGGAGGAGGAATTGACAAACCAAAGATTAGCCTGCTGTCATGCTGAGAAGCTCAGATGGGAACTCAGAATCAAACTATATCATACCTTGTCTTGTTTCTATCTCCAAAACAGAGATGGAGCTTCTCTGCAATTCCCTACTCTGGATTAAGACCAGAACCAAAACTGACCAGAGTTGCCTTGGATCCCACCCTGAAATCTCACTTTCTGCAGGAGTGTATTCACACTCAGAAGGACTTTCTCCCAAGGTTATGTCTGTTCCTGAGGCTCATTCAAATTCCAGAACGAATCATTGACAAGTCACTTCCTGTCCTCAGGTCTGTCCAGTCTCTTCAATAATTGCTTAGTGTGCCTCTAAAGTTGCCTACCACCCCCTCGCCTATCTCATTCTCTTTTCCTCCTGAGGAGAATATTTAAGCTTCAACTATCTCCTCTACCACTGAGATTAATTCTTTTGTCATGGGCCCATTTTTATCACATTTATAACTATGTGCCTTATTTTTTTCCTCTTAATCTCTGTATTCGCACATTGTTTCATAGACTAAAGTTATTGAAACATCAAAGAGAAAATAAAGTTTAAAACTTCCCTATAAAGGAAAGAAGTCAAATCTCAAAAAGTGCTTCGTAACCCTGGATCCTATGGTTGGAACAGAAAACTTTCTATTGCTCCAGCATGGACCTCCTCTAAGTTTTTTTTTTTTTTTTTTTTTGGGGGGGGGAAGGGGTACTGGTGATTGAATTCAGGTGCAGTTAACCACTGAGCTACATCTTCAGCCCTGATTTTTAAAATTTTTTTTTTTTATGTTGAGACAGGGTCTCACTAAGTTGCAGAGGACCTTGCTAAATTGCTGAGCTGGCCTCAAAATTTTTATCCTCCTGCTTCAGCGTCCCAAGTTACCGGCATGCACCACTGCGCCCAGCTGGACCCCTTTGTTCGGATACCAGTTCCCATCCAATCTCAACTACAGTTTGTGAAATTTGAGTTCAAACATTTAGACACTACTGGGCACATGAAAATTATCAGGTGAAGGGTTTCTCAGTTCTTGTCTTCTTGAAAGAAAGATTTTAATCAAGAATCATAGAAAATAAAAAAAAATTATTTATTTAGCGATGTGGAAGTTTGTTTGGAGGTGGAAGACGTGTGTGAAGCAAGCCACCTTCAAGAGAGGAAAGGGCCTGCAGGGGGAGTCACCCACATGGAAATTTTTTATATTTGGCTTGGGGACCTCTCTCCTCGTGTATTATGTATTTGGGGCAGTTACTGAGGTTTTCCACCACAGCTTAGTGTGCTTGTGCCAATTTTGTCACATTGGAAATTTTTTTTCAGCATAGACCACATCCATTCTCTCCAGACTGACAGGGAGCTGTCTAATCCGATAAAGGCAGCACCTGGTTATGGTGCCACCCAGAGGTAGAGTCTGAATTTTCTTTTCCCCATCTCCTTTGCTCTCTTTCTAGCTGCTTACTCTAAAAAAGCATGCCAAAAAGAGGTGATTGAGTTATCGTTATTCT